GTTTTAATTGCCTGAAGGAGACACAGGCAATCGTGTACCTTAGTTACAGGGGATAGATTATTAAATAAAATTAGTATTATTTTTTCATAATAAAGTATATTACATTAGCTTTAATTTAAGATATATATAAAAGTGTCAGTATTTCCGGAACACATTCAAAAGTTATGTTAAAAAAGTCAATTTTTTTTGAAAGAGTTGTCATTTTGAATCCCCCTCCTGTGGGCAGATAAAGAGTCNTGTTGAAAAAGTCAATTTTTTTTGAAAGAGTTGTCATTTTGAATCCCCCTCCTGTGGGCAGATAAAGAGTCAAGTGTACAAAAAAAATATATCAAATGATAGGTAAAGACATCAAGCATCTATAGAAAAAAGTTTTATTGATATGTTCATTTTTGAAAAAGTTACGGCACATTTTAGTAAAAAAAATTGAAAAAATTAGCGATTTTTAAATTTGTTATTTTTTTGGAGGTTTCCTCCATTTACAGGGAACGGGGGAAAATTTTTCAATTTTTAAGGGTAATGTCTTCAACTAGATACGATTTGTGATCTTTTGACGTATCGTTGAAAGAAATCGGTTCGGTGAGAGCTGAGAAAATGTGGTAACAGCTACAAAAAAAAAAAAAAAACCCTTCATAGTAAAATTAATACCTTCTCAGCTTCACATCGAAGCTAAAAGTACTTAAAGAACTGTTCATCATTTACAACAACAATTTAAAAAAACAAATATGCTTATTGTTAATAATAAACAAAATATTTTATGTTAAAATTCAGTGATTTTATTTATAGATTAGTTAATATTATTTTACTTATCAAGAAATTATAGTTATTATAAAAAAAAAGTATTACGTTAGATAGTGTTATATACAAATTTTTATATGTAAACGATGTGCAGATAATTCTTTTGTATACGCTTATTATTATTATTTGTTAACATCTTGTTTTTTTTAAAAATTATTTTAATGATTGAAAAATAAAACAAATTGTATTATATATATATATATATTACAATTTGACGTTTATATAAGGAAATATATGTTATTCACTACGTATTTTGTCATTCACTTTGTAGTTCATAAAATTTTTTATGTATAATTGATTAAACAAAATATTGTACTTTCATTAAATTAACATTTTAATTATGTATATATACGTTACGTTTTGGTCATATTTTGTTATAAATATTATAATTGCAAAAGAATTACAACCTGTATATCGTCCTAATTTACCAGCAGTAATTATCAATTTAGCAGTTATAAATTATAGTTCAGTCGATGTTTTATTTTAAAAACAATATTGTTATAGGGAGAATTCAAGCTAAAATACCACTATATTACTTCTTGCGATTCTCCTGAAAAAAATTTGATTCAATACAATTTGTTTTTTAGTAAAAGGTCTCCAACAATCACAGATCTTAAAGGAAATTTGACATTTTTTGTTCCATTTGACAACACAGTAACGGTAAGTTAACCAAAATTTTATAACTTATATATTATAAAAATCATTGTAGATAAGCATAGATGCTTTTAAAAATTTTTGAAAACACTAAATGATAATGAGAACACTTGTCTCGTTACTTCGAAGTTATACTAAGGGGGAAGCTTAGGTATGACTTAAGTTTGCAATTTTATTATTAATTAAGAATGAACCTAAAAAATATTTAATTTTTGATACATTGACAGGAATTTAAAATTTATAAAAAGGCAAAAAAAATGCTCAATATTTTTCTTAATTTAAGAGATATTGGTTAACTTTAAAAGTATTACTGCGTATATTTATAATTAAGATTTTTTAATATTTTATTCAATGAAATTTATATTATTTAAAACTATTAAACTGTACTACTGCTTCATTTAGTTACGGAACCTTAATACTAAAATTTTACTACATTATATAACATCCAAAGTTAACGAGTTCATAAGTTGAAATTGAATTTTAAAAGTTAAATGATTTAATTTTTAAAATATTTATATTTTATGTTGTCTTAAATTTAACTTAAGTACATAGAAAATATTTATTTGATACCGACAATTATCAATAATAATATTTTAGGCATTTAAAGTGCAAGAGATATTTATTAATTTCAAATTTGACATTTATTTTCTTTGTACTTTAAGCGACTCATTTTTCATCTTAATATGATAATACTATAATCTTAATTTGTTATTACATATTTGTTGAATCCAAAAATTGAGTTTTTTAATATCTTTATAAGTTATATGTTTAACGTCTTTTATAAAATTAATTCAATAAGTAACTCTATGAAACATTTAAAGAAATGTACGCGGAAAACATTTTGTAAAATTTTAAATTTATATATTCTCAAGTTATTTATCTATTATCATTAATAATTTCACAATAATTATTAAAATAAATACATTATATTAATATTATTATAAATTTCATAACTTTGTATTTATGTTAATAATTAATTATAATGATATTTGGACTATATAACAATTTTTTAATTTTTTTATAGTATGGCAAAATTCTAATGATTTAATATAATTATTATGGTTGTATAATGATATCTTATAATACTTATTTTAGTTCACAACAAATTTTGCTGTAAAAGGTTCTAATAATGCCTGGTTTAACAATGCTCATATAATGACATTCAAAAAAGCTTGTGAAACAATGACAATTTTGTTTAGAAGTAAGGCATACGAAGAATTTCTCACAGCTTTTAAAATACCTAAACCTGGATGTCCTTTAAAACCTGTGGGTATTGTTAAGAATATTTCTTTAACATGTTCTAGCATGTTTTGACAAATGAAATAACTTTTGATGTAAAATATATTCTTTGATCATTTTTTTCTCAAGTGATTTTCACATAATTTATTTTTAATACTTAAATTTTTTTTTAATTTCGTTGGGAGGTATTAACTTTACCAAAAAGTTTCGTTTCTCGTACCCTCTACATTCTCAGATTTTAATCGACCAATTTCACTCGACGAAACGTCAAATGATAAGAAATTATCTTTCAATTTTTAAATAAATGTGTTGACTCAACTACTCGGACTCCACGCTGCCGAGTTAGGTATTGTCTTTTTGTAAAAAATGAATTAAAATTTACAAAATAATAAATAAGATTTTGTGGGCAGCAATTTTATATTCTTTATTGCTATTAGCCCATGTAATAATAATGTAATATGCTCCACGGCATGACAAAATATAAAAACAAGGTTAGGTTAAAAAAAAACACAATAAATTATTACAGAATATTCTATAATACACATATAAAAGAAGAACAATAAAATGAAAAATTGTTCGATGTGTCAGACACAAAAAAGGCGAATATAGTAAAGGATAATACAAAACAGGAACCAATTTTCAGTCCTTGGTATGTTAGAGTCGACGAGTCCGATGCAATCAATTATGAACAATATGATTCTTTCGCTGAAGAATGTAATACTAATATACAATGTTTGGTTTATTAATTGTATTACCAATGCGCAAAGTGTAATTTAAAACACGAAACACTAAATAAAAAGCAAAAATTGATCTTTACATCAACTGTCGCACGGCACATACGTATAAAAGGCACACCGGTACACAAGTGATCAATTTAACTCCGTAGGGGACTGCGCACTACCCATTAGGTAAAACCTGTTTGGGCAAATCACGTTCGCAGTACCAAACGAAATGTCTTAATTCCTCGTAAATGACGATTTTTGATGTCAGTGAATTTATGTATACTTTATTTTTTGTCTTTAAAATTACTACAACTTTTTTTTTTATTAATAAATTAAGGGAGAAATTTTCCTATGAAGACCTTGAATAATTTTAGGTGGTCTACCTAGTTCAGTCTGTACCCGCTGTGCATCAGATCGTGGTTCGATTCCGATATGCTGATCTATACAGGTTTTCCGTCTTCTCTGGCATAGACATTAGCTATTAGAGAGAACGTTAAGCATAAATTTGCTATTTTTAAGATGATTTTTTATAAAAAGTCCTTTTAATTAGGCAGCTATATATCAATTTTTTGAAAATCTCACCCTTTACCTACAAACTGGATAAATAATTTTCCGAAACACTGGAAACCTTGAGCAAACAATGAAATCATTAAGTAAATATTGGATTGAGTAACAATGAATTTTTTTGAGTTTCTTATTTCCCTGAAAAATAAACTGAATATCATTTATTTAGCCAACTGATTGCAGGGTTAAATAGCTTTAATAAACAGTTATTTATATAGCAACGATACTTATAATTGTTGGATACATATTTGATAAATGTACTGTCGATAAAATATATAGTGTTCAATAAGCGTGGAAACAAATTTCTATTATTATCATTGTTTAGAACTGTTTTCTTACTTACTAAACATTCAGTATATTTAGTAACACCACAATCGCTATTATTGCATCCATCGGATGACAGAAGGTGGGAGACAAGCGACTTGGCCGTTTCTCAACACTATATTTATAGTATTGCGTTTTACTATTTCGTACGAAATCGATGTACGACATTGACGTATAGATCCTTTCAGTTCCAGTGTGTGTGTTGCTGTTACCAGGTTGTCTCTTGGCAAAGTGTTCTATGCTGCCTTTTCACGCATAGTTCTCATACAAAAGCTTTATAAGCTAGAAGTGTTTGATCTTTAAAAAGGATAATTTTTAAAAAATAAGAAGGCTTCTTGTGGTACAAAACTATTTAACATAAACCAATCTAGGTAGAACCTCAACAAATTTCACCTACTCTACAATTTTATATGCCTTAATTGTACTTTATACTTGTAAAAAAACTCATTAGAGTTCTATTTAATATTCAAATAAAAAGAACTAAAAAAATCTTAAAAAATGTATAAAACAAAATACAATTACGTAATAATTTTTATTATTATAAAAATTGTTTAAAATTGTCTCACAATATTAAAATTCTGCAAAACAAAAAAAAATTAACAAAAAGATATTAGTTTATAAAAAGTTATTTCGGCTGTCATATTGAATTAAATCATTTATAGTGAATGAACTAAGTTATTAATTATGAAACATTTTTTTCAGGGTGTATATGTATCATCTGGATTTGACCTGAATTTTATAACAGATATTGAGTATTTTCCTAAAGTGTTTTTTTACGGGATATATAAAGTTAATATGACCTTTACAAATACTAAAGAAAAGTTTTTAGGCTGCTTCATTATTGTAGTTGATGTTGTTCGTCCATGGGAGATATAAACACAATAATTAAGTATATTTGCAGGTCTCGTAGTTTCTTTGATTTATGTAAAATGAGTGGATAATAAACATGGGTCCTCGTGATATTAATATATGTATTAAAATTATATCAATCATAAATATTGTAATATAACATTGATATGAATCAAATAAAAAAAAATTTTATTAAAATATTTTTTTTTTTTTTAACAAAATTTTAATTATTATGCTATCTGTTACAATATTGAACAATAAGCTTAAGTGATAACATAAAAAGAAAAAAAAACAGACAGAAGAGACTGAGTGAAGAGACCTCCCATCGGAGGTACTTCAACATGAATATTAATTTAAATTTAAGGTATTAGTCCTAACATAATATTAATAATAGTGATAATAAGTTGGATTGATACATATACATTTTTTTTTTTTTTTTTAATTATAAAAGTAGGTCACGACACCACTGTCTTTTTAATCTTTTGTGGGGATTTCCTGGAATAGTTGCAGATGATAGTTGGACAATAAGGGGATTGGAATGATGTGTTAACTTGTTATTGAATCGTTTGTAGTGGAGTTTGGCTAGTTTAGTGACGGTGGGTAAATTGAAGTCGGAATGAAGGGTATCATTTGAAACATAGAAGGGAGCTTTGGAGATGACGCGAAGGACTTTGGATTGGAACCTTTGTATACGGTTTGTATTTGATACTTTGGCTGAGCCCCAGAGTTGCAAACCGTAGGACCAGATGGGCCTGAGTAGTAGTTTATATAGCAGTAATTTAGTAGGTAGTTTGATATTTTTAGAAGTTAGGAATGGCCGGAGAAGACGAAAACGATCGTTCAGCGTTCGAGTTTTATTTTTAATGTGAGCTGACCAGGTAAGTCGACGGTCGATGTTGACTCCAAGGTAGCGTACATTTTGGGCAGTGGGGAGGGGTTGGTTGTTAAGGAGGAGGGTCGGGCACACTCCTTGCCGAAGTGTAAAAGTACAATGGATCGATTTGGATTCATTCATTTTAACTCCCCATTCCTTGTACCAGGCTTGGAGAAGGTGAAGGTGGTCCTGAATATAGCTAGAGGCTAAATGAGGATCAGGGCTAGAGGCTAAGATAGCTTTATCGTCGGCAAAGTCACCGACAAGCGTATGGAGGGAAGAAGGTTGATCAGATATATATATGTTAAATAGGAGGGGAGCTGTGACCGCACCTTGAGGTACGCCTGCATTGATTAAAGTAGGAGCAGAAAAGGTGGAACCTACTCGCACTGAGAAGTGACGGTCTTCTAAATAGGATTTAAGGATTAAATAGTAGTGACTAGGGAGAAGAGTCTTAAGTTTATATAAAAGACCAGCATGCCATACGCGGTCGAAGGCCTGAGAGACGTCCAGAAACGCACCAGTGCAATAGAGTTTTTCTTCCAAGGCATAGGATATTTTGTCTACCAATCTGTGCACTTGATGAACGGTGGAGTGGCTGTTGCGGAAGCCAAATTGAGGGTTAGGTAAAATATTTGCAGTGTCGACAATGGGTATGATACGTTTTAGTAGGAGTTTCTCGAATAACTTTGAAAGTATTGGGAGAAGACTGATTGGTCTATAAGAAGTCGGGGAGTCCGGGGGCTTTTTGGGTTTTAATATGAGAATTATAGTAGAGTATTAAAATATAATGAGAAAAAATTGTTTTTATATTTTAGGTTAAAAAATTAAAAAATATATTTTTGAATGTCAATTATTTATTAAAATTATTAAATCTTTTGGATGAAATTTTCCAAACCTTTATACATATATGAAAACGGTTCACATTATTATTATGAACTATGAACTTATTATAAATAATTGATTGTGACTAATTAATAATTTTTATTAATTATCCAAATTTTACCTAAAACATACATGACAGTGCCACGTCTTCATAGCACTGCCGTTTTTAGAGCTTCGATACGAAATTGACAAGATATTAATTTTATTATGATGCTTTTTTCATTTTTTATTTTTGTATCTGTTACCACTTTTTCTCAGCTCTCACCAAACCAATTTCTTTTAACGATACGTAAAAAGATCACAAATCGTATTACCGAAGATATTACCCTCAAAAATTGAAAAAAATTCCCTCGTTTACCGTAAACGGGGGAAATCTCAAAAAAAAAAAAAAAAACAAATTTAAAAATTGGTAATCAACATTTTTTCCATTTTTTTTGCTTAAAACTGCCATAACTTTTATATAAATGACCAAATCAATATAAATTTTTTTATAGATACGGAGGTCATATCATTTTGTATATTTTTTTATAAATCTGTCCCTTTTTCTGCCCACAGGAGGGATTCAAAATGACAAATTTTTCAACTTAACTAATGATTTTTGACTATAGTAGAAATATTTTATAAAATTTCCATTTTAGATTTATGATGCCTAAAGAAATTTTTATTTTAGAAATGTCTAAATTAGATATTTCTAACTAACAAAACTGCTTAATGAGTATTTATTTACACCTTTTTCAGAACACCGTGTATTTATTATGTCATAATTTTTAATATACTCTATTTTCTTTATACAACTGAACCCTTATATGTTTTTCCATAAATTTTGAAAGTACACCAAATTTTGATTTCTCTCTGCTCTAAAAATGTGATATACTACATTTATTTGATATTATAATAAAAAACATTAATTAATTTTTTATCAAGAATGAATAATATTTTTAATCACAATATTTATATAAAATCTTTTAATCAAAGTATACTTGTAATAATTTTTTTTTTCAAATATTAGGAAAACAAAATTTTTATTAATATTAACATTTGGTCTATAATTATTAGTGAATATAATTAAGAAATGTTTATTTAACCTTATAGTCACGAGTAGGTTTTTTTTTAATATATAAACTTTAATTAATTACATAAATTATTTATGTAAAACAGTCAATATACACTTCTCTTAATATTAAGATGATCAGTTTTCGCACGAAATTTTAATTTTGTCATATTTTACACTATATGTTGATTAGTTAAAATTGATCACTTAAGTGCTAGTTAAGTTAGGCTGCAGAGAAGAAAACTTCAGTCAATTGAGTAACTTATCTTATTTATAATCGTGTCTTTACTAGTTATAAAAAATAATTATTATTCTCAGCCTTGCTTACAATTTGATACACGTTTAACGCGGAGATAAAGAAATGTACAACTACATTATAATTTTTTCGTAAAAATTATAACACTAAATTATTGAATAACAATTTCATATTAAATTGAATTACTATATTTTAAGTGTTTATTATAAATGATATATATTGAATATTATAAATAATAAATCACAAAACTTGTAATCAAGATATAATTAAGGAAATACGAATTGATGTTGCTTTTGAAATAATCCAACAATTCCTTTTAAAAATGTAACAATATCTACAGTTTGCATCTAAGTGTTTTTTATAATATTGATTTTAATCACTATCAGATATTGAATGCTCCAACAACATCACGTTCCCACTATACCGCGATCTTCTCACTGTGATAACGTTTTTTTAAATTATAAGTTAGTTAAATATGTATGTTGCCATTTAAAAAATAAAGCTGACACCCTTACAAGGTTTAAATAATATGTCAAAGAAAAAATATAAATAGAAAAGTAGATTTATTAATAACATAATCGCTAATCAATCGTTCATTTAGTTAAGTGTCAGTTACGAACATCCATAGGTCGTACATATCGCACTTTTTTGAATCAGTTCATTAATTTGCGAAATTTATATCTATATAGTAAAAATAAATGCTTTGTTTATAATATTGAAAATCAGGAAATTAATCATTAACTTATTAAAAAAACTAAATAATTAATAAATAGAGAAATACATAAAATTAAAAAATATCAAAAAAATATTAAAATATTTACTCTGTATACAACAGCTTTATAACTTTTTATATTTTCCCCATAAAAATTGTAATATTAAATTATTCAATATCATTTTCATGCTAAATCAATCAGGATATTAATAAGGAAATTGTAGTTAATGTTGCTTTTTAAATAATTCAATAATTCCTACAAAAAATTCAATACTATCTACAGATTTATATAGAAGCAATTTTTGTGGTAGTCATTTTAATCACTGTCAGATATCATCTATACTTGCTCCAATTATATTGCGACCCCACTGTGCTATTTTTTATTTATCATTTCGATCCTGCAACTTATGAGTTTTCTCATTCAGTGTGACATCATATTATTATGTAAACAAAAAACTGCATCATGATAAATTAATATGTTAATGTTAACGATAAGGTATAATAATTATATGTAAAGCATAGCATAATTATACTAAAATGCTGTATTAAATTTTGATTTATCTATACAACATTTTTGTAATCTTGAAAAAAAATAACAATGTTTAATCGTTTAAAATATAATGGTAATATGTTTACAACAAATTATAAATTTTTAAATGAGCACAAGCCATTTTCAATGTAAATATTAAAGCCCAATGTCATGTTCATGAAAAAATTTTTAATTTCAAAAATTATATGCATAGATAACAATGGTCATTAGAGTTTATAAGTATATCTATATAATTATCTCTTTCTCTCTCTCGGGTAGTCCATAGCTATAGGACATGAATTTTGATTTTGAAAATTTATAACCGAAACTCCCCCTTTTGTTCGGTTAACTTATAAACGTGTGTGTATAAAATTTTATTTTGATAGACCCTCTCTATCCCGTTCCTCAAAGGGGTTAATTTTAGGCGGTTAAGGGTTGAAAACCAGTTTTTTTAATATAACTTTTTCAATTTTATTTTTATGAAAAAAATTTACTAAAATAATTTTGTTGATCGCATTATATTTTCAGTAATGTTTTTATTTTCTTGTATAATATTTAAAAATAGTTAAAAAACGTTAAATATCATATTTCAAAGATTTTCACAAAATATTCAGTTTTTTTCATATAACTAATTAAATTTAGTATTTATACAAAAACGTTACTTTTTATTATTTGTAGGATATATCATTTACAATAAAAAAGTATAATTAAGATTTTTTGTAGGATTCAATGTTTTGCCTATAATTAATACAAAAAGTATGTGTTACTTTTCTGATGTTTATTTTTAAATTACAATTGTGTCTCCCGTATGAAAACTTGTTTTTATGTTGACAATGAAATATTTAAAAATGTTATATATTTGTAC